GGTGCGTTCCTTACATGTGGTTTCTGTGCTCCCCACCCGATCCAAGAAGGGATCAGTTACCGACACACTCCCTGAGTCCCCTGCGCACCCCCGCACTCTCTCCTTCTCTCACTCACACACAATGGGATGGCTGCAGGGTGCTCAGGGAGGGCTCTCGTCAGACTTGCTGACATCTTTTATCGCTTCTCAGAGGAACAGGCGAGAGCGAGTGCCTGCTTTGATCAGCGAGAAGGCGCAGAAGGTGTGGAGGAGTCCTGTGGAAGCCTGCCATGTGCTGAGTGCTGCAGATGCTGGATGGCACGACGAACAGATCCGAAACCGAGGCAGGAGCTCTGCCAGGCCAGCCCAGGCTGTGGGCAGGGGGAACCGGTCTGCTGGCAGCTCCACAGGAGGACCACCGGGAATCTTCACAGGAAGGGCGCAGCACCGCCAGTCCACTCGACGCCTCTGTCTCTCACAGTGCCGCCGCTGGCCGCATTCCAGCTTCCGGAAAACAATTAACTGTTTTTAAACACTCTTTTCAGTTCCCCTGTGATAGCATCTGTCATCTCTTTTTTTTGTGTGTGTTGTCCTTTCCCCTGCTACGCACTCTAGGAACAATGCAAAAACCAGATCTGAATTCTGAATCTGAAAATTTTTCCCCCCAAGGCCACTTGGCTCAAGCTGGAGGCGAACCGGTCCAGCCAGCCAGCAGGGGGCGCTGTTTCCTACAGGCCTGGAGCCACACGGTGCCTGCAGAAGAAAGTGAACCCGTGGCCCCTGCTTGCCTTATCAGTTGCTCTTCCAAGACTGAAGCAGGGAACTTCAGGACCTGCTGGGCTGCAGATACAAGGTACAGGAAGTGAGTAAGACAGTCCCATCCAAGACAGACAGGTCAATGAGACCATACAGGACAGCACACAACCCTATTTTAGAATCTGTTGGTGAGAACATGTGATCTGGGGCAAAGCTTACAGTCTTCATTATTCTTCACGGGCTTGTTTGTTCAGCACTGCCCTGGTGGTCAGAAACCCAGAACCCAGCCTCACAGCACAGGCTAATTATGGAATTTGTTCTCTAACTTCTTTTTCTTTCTACAGGAATGAATGGCTCTATGTTCTGGACTCACTGCAGGTGCATTGGACAGAGAGCTCATCAAAGCGCAATGGGGAAAGAGAGCAGCAGTCTCTCAGCGCTGGCGAGTCTACCGAACGGGCCCATCGTGCGGCGCGCGGTGATGTGTAAGGAATGTCTTTATCTGAGCTTCACAAGGCGGTAACCTCTGATTTACACGGCTGAAACTCCTGCATTTGGCTGCATTCCTCCATCCCCCGGTCGGCCCACAGGACCACTTCTGGAACAGAAAGAAACATGTTGTAAGAAATTCCTCACCTCTTTTGTCATTTAAAAAAAAACTTCAAGTACAGTTTGAAAAATCTTGCATGCAGAGAAACATTCAGTGCAAGTTATTGTGCATGATGGAGATGTTTTTTTCCCCATATACCCACAGGGAAATACTGTACTTAGTCTAAACAGAAATAAGGATTTTGCAGCATTGTCACGGAATAACAGAAAGGAGTTTCTTCGCACAAGTTTCTTAACTGTAATTTTGGGATGGAAAACCAGTGCAAGTATTCTGAGTAGTATTAGTGGAACAGCTCAGGTTTATTAGTGCAGTAGCTCCCAGAGAAATGTTGGGATAAAAATAAAAGCAGAGGTTCCGTGTCCAAGCTTTTTTTTTTGCATATCTTTATAAAACACATTTAGCTGAACAAAAAGGATTTTGAAGATGCCAAACTTCAAACAGCCCTAAGCCCCAGGCACTGGAGCCTGTCATGTGTGGAGATGCTATCAGAGAGCGGTTTCACGATCAATGGTACGGGCTGAAGCACTGTGGGGGACAAGCACTTTAGTGCCAGGAAAAAAAAAAAACGCTTATGTTAATTCATGATTTTTGCATATTGCGTCATTAAATCTTCCGCGATAGTCTTGAATAATGCATCTCGAGTCAGTGGAACTGATGAGATGTCTTTGTTTGCTGATCCATGTGGGTGTTGTGTTTTTGTCCTTTAAGAATTACCATGTCCTACAGTGTGACAGTCCCATCAGCTGTACTGAGTACTAATACTGGAGGGAGTGGGGTGGGCTTGGGTCTTTGGGTTGTGCAGTTCTTCATTTGCCCTGATTGAAATCAGGGGCAGCATAGGGGTCAGGACTGAAAGATTGTGGCTACAAATCCCTGCTGCGTATGCATCCCTGCTGGATGTGTCTTTGGTGTTATTTATTCCTGTTGGTTCTGTACTTGAGCTTCAATCAAGATTGAAAAACCTTGGGGTTATATTCAATTCTGGCTTAACATTCGACCCTCATGTGCAGCATACTGTCAGAACATCTTTTTTTCACCTCAGAAATATCGCTAGACTACGCTCTATGCTATCACTAACTGTGGCTGAAAAGCTGATCAACACATTTGTGTTCTCCCGAATTGTAATGCTCTACTCAGCTGCATACTGCAGTATGTCCAAAATTCAGCAGACAGAATCCTGACCAGGTCTAGTGCAAGTGTTCACATTGCTCCTATCCCGGAGTCCTTGCACTGGTTTCCGGTCAAATTCCGTGTAGACTTTGCTCACCTATGGCTTGGCACCTCAGTACCTGTCTGAACTTTAATTGCCCTACTCCCCACCTCGCAACCTCCGCTCTTCTAATTCTGCTCTCCTTACTGTGCCCCAAGCCCATCTACATTGTATGGGTGACAGGGCCTTCTCCTGCTATGCCCCCAAGCTCTGGAACTCTCTGCCCAAGGATATCAGAGAGTCACCTTCTCTAAACTCCTTCAAATCCAGACTCAAAACCCTCTTCTTCAGAAAAACCTTTACTTAACTGGTTCCATTCTTCACCCCTATGCTTTTCTTAGTAATAATAATAATAATAATAATAATAATAATAATAATAAACTTTATTTTATATAGCGCCTTTAAAGGTGGCTTCTCAAAGCGCTTTACAGGATGACAATAACAATAAATAAGAAGACTACAACAATAAATAAGAAGATTTCACAAGATAGGACACAATTATAATTACAACAATACAACAATAACAATAGAGGAGACCGTGGAAGGTGGTATTAAGAAGAGCAGAGGGGTGAAGAATGGAACCAGTTAAGTAAAGGCTTTTCTGAAGAAGAGGGTTTTGAGTCTGGATTTGAAGGAGTTTAGAGAAGGTGACTCTCTGATATCCTTGGGCAGAGAGTTCCATAACAGGAGAAGGCCCTGTCTTGACGGACTTGGGGGACAGTAAGGAGGGCAGAATTAGAAGAGTGGAGGTTGCGAGGTGGGGAGTAGGGCGATAAAAGTTCAGACAGGTATTGACGTACCACCATCCACGGTCTCCTCTATATATTGTAATTGTGTTATATCTTGTGTATTCTTCTTTTTTATTGTTGTTGTCATCCTGTAAAGTGCTTTGAGAAGCCACCTTTAAAGGCGCTTTATAAAATAAAGTTTATTATTATTATTATTATATTATTATTATTATTATTACTTCAGACTATCTACTTGGAAAAATACGTATGAGTTTTCCAGGGACAGTCACAAACTTTCAGTTTACCTAATACCACAGAAACTAGGATAACCTCTGGCCTAAAGAATCTCTAGATGAGCACAGACCTTAATTTTTCACTAGTTGAGAGCAATAAAATGTTTTTACCAAATCTGACTCATAGCTGAAGCAGGAGGAACACATCGAGTCTGAGACTTAAGTCTGTTTAAAAGCTCGCTGTTTTGGGGACCCTTAAGAATGTCGAGGTTTTGTGATTATCAATGGATGTTAACTACAGGGAAAATCCAGTACTTACAAAATGTTTTGAGTTGTTTTCATTTCCCAAAATGTCATGAGTCATGCTGTCAGAAGTCCCTTCAGTTCTTACAAGCCAGTGGCACTGGTTTGTGAGGGTGTTTAAAAACAGAACCAGACTAATCACAAAACACACGCAAGACCACAAAAATCCAGGCAGTTAAAAAAGTTAACATTTTATTTTTTTTTGTCTGTTACATCAAAGAGAGGGAGAGAATAAGTGTCAATCAAGGTGACCTGCATTTCCAGTGATGAGCTTTTGAAGAGCCGATGCTTTCAAGACTCCACCAGAAACGCACCATATAGAATATCCACTCCTTAAGGCCAAACAATTATTTTTGCTTTTCTCTGCCCTTTGGGTTGTTGTCAGATACTTCCATATTTTGTTTCTTCTTTTTGTCAGTTCAAAGTCCTGTGGGAGCTGATTGAAATCAGAACTGGAACGGAGGCAGTCCAGGTCAAGGGGACATATCCTTGGAAATGTATTTATTAGTATCCTTAAGCTGCTGTCAATCAAACTGCAGGAACAGTCAAATACTAATTTCTGATTGTCATGCAATGGCAGTGGTGTGATTAAAAAAAACTGTAATGCAAGATTTGCAAAATATTTTACATAGATATTTTTACGCAGTTTTTTTATTGATTTTGATTGATTGGATTATCAGAAGAATTTGCATAAATACTGGAAGGACATCTCATGTGTCAGAACGTAAAGATTTCCTCCAATACCCCAAAGAAGAGCATATTCCCTGTCTGAAAATACAACATCGTCCTCTAGTGGTCATTGTAAGCCATGCATCCTTACTTTCTTAAATAGTGGTGCTCAGATGGGACAGGTAACAAACATGGCTTCTTTGATGGCATGTTCTTACTGGGGTCCTGTAGTCATGTGATGGAAGGAGCCCCAGAAGTGCAGGGGACTAGAGAATACAGTCTGATCGTGGGTGAAGAGGGCATTGCGTGGCTCAGAAGATAAGATAAGATCACTTTATTGGCCATGTACAATTTCTTGTATTAGGGATTTGTCTTTTCACAGACCCCAGCTTGCTCTCCATGAGACACACAGACAGGGAGAGAAGCTTGGGGTCAGAGTGCAGGGTCATTTATACAGCGCCCCTGGAACAGTTGGGGTGAAGGGCCTTGCTCAGGGGCCCAACGGAGTTGGATTCCTCTGCCGGCCACGGGATACAAACTGGCAACCTTCCAGTCCCAGGCGCAGATCCTGAGCCACAGAGCCACCGCCAGGCCCCTCTGCTTTCGTCCACTGGCAAACCTACAGTTTGCTGACTGGTAATGGCGAAACCTAAGCAGTGCTTCCTTCAGTCCTGGGGGGGGGGGTTGGGGAGACGAGTTCAGGCAAACTCCTGCACCACCAGCTCTTTCAGGGAGAGCTGGGACACTGGACCCCTCTGCGCGTCCCTGGCCTGGGTCAGCTCCTCCTGCAGCTGGGCGATGGGCCGGCCCAGCTCGTAGCCCAGGTCGATCAACATGGCGAGCAGGGGGCACCTGTACTTGTGCCTGCGGAGGCGGCGCACCAGCGCCAGGGCCCTCTCGCCCATGGCGAAGGCGCTGGCGGAGTCCTCGAGGTCCCGGTGGCAGACCAGCGCGGCGCAGAGCGCGGGCACCAGCAGGGCGGGGCAGTGCTGCGCCAGCTTCTCCTGCAGGTTGAGGGCGGGCAGGAGCAGCTCCAGCGCGCGGGCGTACTTGCCGCCGCGCAGGCAGACGTGGGCCTGCCGCAGCTCCGGCTCGGTGAAGAAGGCCAGGAAGGCGGGGGAGTGGCGGACGCAGCGCAGAGCGTACAGCCGCGCCAGGTAGTCCCTGAACGCCACCCGGCGCTCGTCGATGCTTTCCTGGGCAAAGTTGCTCGTCAGCCTCTTCCTCGGGAAGGACACCTCCTCCAGCTCCTCGCTGAAGTCGCGCAGCAGCGTCTGCTGGAGGCGCTCGAAGTCCGAGTAGCGCCGCTCGATGGTCACCTGCTTGGCGTCGTAGCTGCCCGACTTTATCACCACGATCTGGTACATCTGCGGCGCACATGGACAGACAGTCTTAACCCCCGCCCGGCGCACTGGACGGCATTTGTCCCCAGGACACACACTCTCTGCTCGGATATAAGAGACGTTACCGTCCCGAGGGAGGATTGCGTGAGGATCACCAGTGAGCCAGGTAAAAGGACAAGGGATCCGGATCGTCATTCTATCAACTCTTTCCAGAATGAATACAGAAGGGTACAAACGTAGCTACGCCACAGAGCAGTGTGAATTAAGAAGATCAAGTAACAGAAGATCTGCATTCATGACAGCTACCCAGCCATGTTGTTGAAGCTGGTACCCTGACTTTCTTCAGGAATTGGCCAGATGAGATCTTTGGATCTATCAGCTACTCATTAACTCACTAACGAGCTAACAGGCTTGATGGGCCAAATGGCCTCCTCTCGTTTGTAACTCTTTATTATGTTTTTCCGAATGACCCATTCTGTTTCACAAATTCACTTATGTTCTTATGAGCCACGCAGACTTCAAACCTCAAAGCCATTTCCACTGCGGTCGAGCAGCGAGCAAACCGTCCAATCTGGCCTCTTTTCTCCTTCCTGCACCTGGGATATCGCCTCAGTGAGCTCACCACGTATCTGCACAGGGGCTGCTCCACGATGCGGGCGGAGGGGATCTCGAACAGCAGCTTAACCGGCTTCTCCCGGGACTTCACCCCCTGCCAGTACTCCTGCAGCTCCTTCGTGGTCATGGAGGAGCTGGAGCTGGGGCTCAGATCCCCGCCTGCAGCGCGCACATGCGGACACACGGCCACAAGCACGGAAGACAGTGACAAAAATAAAAGACTCTTAGAAACGAGTTTGTGTTTCACTGTATTCCGGCGGTTTCTCTGCTCTGCAGCAGCACGCCTGGGCTTCAAGCACTGCGTTCTAAAGAGGCGAAGTGTTTCACGAACCGAGAGCTGCAGGGTCCAGCTGGGGACTTGGTGGTGAAGCCGGGGCATGATGGACACGGTGCCCTGTCCGGGTGTCAAACTCCGCTGCCGGCTGCGTCAATCCATAATCCTCGTCCAGGCAGGGACCCATCTGCCCATCATCACAGGTATCCCCCATTGGCAGAACAGTCTGGGTCTCCCTGTGATGGGACACAGAGTACACAGAGTCCTAGTGTCTTACTTCCATTGCAAAGGACATGAGACACATACAGTATAGTCAATGGATATTGTATACAGAGTCCTAGTGTCTTACTTCCATTGCAAAGGACATGAGACACATATAATCAATAGATATTGTAAACAGAGTCCTAGTGTCTTACTTTCTATGCAAAGGACATGAGACACATACAGTATAGTCAATAGATATTGTATACAGAGTCCTAGTGTCTTACTTTCATTGCAAAGAGCAGCGGGCACAACTGGAAGATATGAGGAAGCACACTGAGGACTGAGAATTGAAAGCACTCTTTTACAAACAGGGGATGGGTGCCTGGAACAAGCCACCAAGATGCTGGATTGAAGCCGATTCCCTGTGAACCCTTGAGAAACAGATGGATGAGATCTTGCAGCCAAAACGGGTGTGATGAGCTGAAGGGTTTTTAATTTGTTACCATTCTGATTTTATAGCCATCTAGGAGTTGTGATGCTTTCATATTTTATCTGAATTTTGCTCGTTCTCTAACTGGAATGTTATGATGGAGAATACGGGCATTTCATATACTACAAATAATCTTGATATGGACATGCATAAAAGCCTAGCTTTGAAGCACAGTCGACAATTAAATTAATCTGTACGTTTCCGATATGATTAATTGGGTTGTTTCCTAACCATTAGTCTGTGATTATCCTGTAAGTGATTTCTGAATAAAAGAAGAAGAACAGTGTCATGAATGGGACAGGGGAGAGAGCACAAAATTTTAGAAATATTTCTCTGAGGCACTGCTTTGTCTTTAGAGGTCTCCATTGGAAACAACAACTTAGAAATGCAAACTGCACTTGGGGAAAGATCCGGAGGTCTTTTAAAATCAATCTGTGCTTTCATTTTCTTAAAGGAGTGATGTAGAGAATTTAGAAATTCGTGTTGCGCGGATATCTCTGGGAAGCGCAGCAAGAGCCCAGGCTGTAGCCTGTGGATAAGTGAGTGCAACTGGGCTAGAGATCAACCAGCTACAGCTGCAGTTCTGCAGGCAGAGCTGAGCTCTCCACTGCAGTCAAGGTCAAATGGAAATGAAAACCCATACGAATCCAAACTACACAACCACAATGAAAGCTTTGTGTTTGAAGAATAATTAATCAGTTTCCCCAGAGAAACTAGATAAACTCAAATGTATTCTAGGGGGTACCCGTCCTTTCGAAGTCGTTGCTATTAAAAATGCTGTTGGTGTACATAACTGAAAATTCCTCCTTTATGGGATAATAACATTATTTTACTTTTTCTTTCACTTGATCCACAGTCTAGCCAAAACACTGGGCTTCCTCTCTCAAAGGTTCTCTCTCTGTTTGTATCCCAGCTGACAGTTTGGCGAGTCTGTAAAATGAGGAAGTGATGCTCTACATGGCTTTGTAGTATAGCACCTCTGTGGACAAGCGCGGGTCTGAAACCAGCATAAATTGTGACGAACTGGGTTTTACCCCTGGCCTCTGACCTCTGAACTCTGACCTCCTACAATACACTTGGCTGGTGAACACTGAACCTCCCTGTTCTGTTTGCATCAGGAGCTGAAATATAACATAAAACTGGGCTGCTTACCCGCACTGCCGTGCCAGTGTATTCCTGTTAATGTTTTCAGTTCCACACCATGCTCACGTGTTGCGCTCTCTTACCAAGGATGAATATGCCATATTGACGGAGGTGAGCATCCTGTTAGCCTGGGCGTTCTGGCCCTGCAAGGTCACGCTAGACTCTGTCAAATGGCACTGCCTAGGGGGAGAAAAAGAGAAACAGGTCTCGGGCTTTGAGGAAGGAAGTGCTGGTCTGCGATGTGAACTGTGATTGGTCTGCGCTCACACTGTGGAGAGGGGGTGGAGGTCTGTGTGTGCAGGGAAGGAGTGGTGCTTGTGTGTGCAGGGCAGAGATGAATCAGCTGGCTTCTGAGTCAGATCTTGCAATCGCTTCCCTTCACTCGGACCCACCAAGGAAAGTGGCTCATACCAAGAGCAGGACCAACCCCTTAAAACAAGCAGGCTAAAAAAGCCAGAGGCCAGCTCTGGTGCTGCTGACTTTCCAGTCCAGTGGGCCATGTAAGGTAATTTAAGTATCGTAAAAGATACTTTAGAACAAAAATGTGAATACCCCTCATCTTGTGAAGGAAAAGGTCATTAAACAAACTATTTGTTCAATTTGATCAATAACTTCAAAGTGTTCTAAATCTTTAGATGCAGGAGACGGGAGACCTGAACTAAGTAAATGTAAGGATCTCCAGGATCTGTGTAAGTCAGACATCTCCAACCCTGATCCTGAAAAGCCCCAGTCCAGACTTTAGAGGCAGCCTTTACATCATCAGTTTCTGAAGGAACTGGTGTATTTAAGACATTCAGCGAGACAAGTGGTCCTCTCACTGACCCATTACTTGCTTAATTGATCAATTACTTAACCAAGTGTCTCTAATCCTTACATAACAGGTGATTGAGGGGTGATCTTTAATAATATCTGGTTTGAGGCTCAGAATGACCAGGGTTGGAGATTCCTATGGTAAGTGCCCCCCCAACCCCACTTATTGAATTGAAAAAATGTCTTTAAATGTGTCAATATGAGCCAGTAGCAGCTCTCCTGATGTTTTTAATTGCAAATGTTCCAAGTGTTCACACCTGGATTTCTGTGTTCCAAAATCACAGTCACTTCCCCTATTACCATGTTTTAATATATTCTAAGGACAATTATGCTTGGGACCACTGGAATACACAGTAAAGCAATGTTGCTCTTCAAGTGGTAATAATAAAGTTTAGATACAAAAGAAATCCAAACGCGATCGGGCACCTGTTTCTGTATGTGGGGGCGGGACGGAATAAGGTGTCGTTTGATCACTGTAGACCAGCGGATCCCAGCCCACCTTCATCAGAGAACCGAAGTCTTACTTGATCTCAGAAGTTGCCTCAATTGAATATTTGCATTTTATTTCATTTACGAAATTACACGGTTCAAGTTCCAACATGCTTAAGAGCTGGGGAACAGGCAGTTCAAATTAATCTTTTTACTACTAAGTCAATGGAGGGTTTGACTGTATAACTGAGGACTCGGCTGGGACAAAACCAACAGGTGTGTGTGTGGGTCACCGGGACTGGAAGCTTTTACTGTAGGACAAGAATGCAGCTGACACGTAAGAAATTGTCTCGTCTCGGATTTTTTAATCTTGTCAGCATTTGCCTTTTATGTTAGTTTCGGTTGTCCACGTCTCCGATGTTGGTCAAAGAAACGTTTGGATTTAAACCTTATTTATACGCAAAATAGGCTCCAGATTTGATTCTCGAAAAGAAACGGACGGTGAAGCTGAAACTATCCGACTCCTTCAGTGCACCGGTGCAGCGAGTTAACGAGCGTCTCCAGATTGTATGCCGTCCTGCGTGCCGCCCCTCACGGACCTGGTTCCCCAGCAAGGCTTCTCCGTCTGTTTGTCCTCTCAGGGAGTATCTTTTAGGGATTCTGTAAAACACGCGTGTGTGTACATATATATATATACAGTATACACAGTCATCAGTCTAACACCCTAGATCCACGAGGCCGCTTGCTGGAGACGCTTCTCCTTTACGGTCAACATTGACACTTCGTGCGTGTTTATTTGTACTGTTGTACTGTATTGTTGTGTTACAACAATAATATAGTAATATAATTACAATAACAAATATCAGTGAACAGAACTCCAACGCTGGGAAAATTTAATGAAGACCGCTCCTTAGGAGTTGATAGACTCGTGTAATAGACTCTATGAGGGATAAACGTCAATCCCGCATTTTGACATCTT